TTTACTTAGGCTTTACTTATGAATCGCTTCATAACAGTACTGCATTGTTATCGTGATACGAGAGGATATTTACAGAAACGTTACACCATTCCTTGCTGTAACGAATGTCACGAAATCGAAGTCGACATTTCGTGATATATCAGAATTTGTCCAAATGCTTCCCACGTAGAAAGACAATGGCGACATGCGGATGTCTAAATTATTATTATGATTATTTCCTTTATTTTCTCCAGAAATGAAGAGTTACAGAAATAACGAACAATACACGTACAATTCAATACTATTGAAAGAGAAGAAAATGCATTCACAATCATGGTCACACCCTTACATAGTGACACACACATGCACATGGACAGATACACACATAAGAGAATGACAATAGTACCCAATGTCGAGATGCGAGTGTTTAAATAGAATGTCGATAAGAAAAATGCTTTTATTCGAGGATATTAGCGGTAAGATATAATTCAATGTATCAACCTTACCTGCGTGTATTTAAGATATTTAAATGATTTTCGTACAGGTATATTGTAAGAGTGAAAGAGATGTAGGGAGTTGTTAACAACTGTAACCATTCGAATGACGTATAACTGTACATTTAATTTGTTGTTGTGTTAGAGGGATAGCCGAAAATTTAATGCATCGTTTCAAATTATTTTACAACCTCGATTAGTTGAAATATTTAAATGATATTCGCTATATCAGATAAAGATATGTAGAGATTAGTACTCGACAAGCTCATATGAATAGAGGAGTAGTAGTTAATTAAACAAAACATCGTGTACAAGTTGAAGAGGGAATATAAATGTCAGCGTGGAGACAAAGTACACTCTGCGAACTTTCTACAGAATATCTAGAGAGCGGTAAACATAATTTAAATTGCACTTGATATGTTGGATATTTATTGTAAATACTAAATACGTAGACGAAAAATGGAATGATCATAACAAATATGTATAAGAAGGGCCATCTAATAGCTGTCGACCAACTTCACACTAAAATATCCTCTCGGGTACCCCTATACGAGTCTACTTTCGTTTTGAAGTTCATCGTAACACTGCAAAGTCGAATTCTCCAGGTAGAAAGAAAGATAAGGAATATCAGACAATATACAAGTTGAAGAAAGAATAAAAATAGTATAAATTATGATGAGAATTAAGATGATCCATTATTTAAAAAGCGACTGTTGATTTATTACAGGTTCAAGTTCTTTTCATATTTTTGATTTATATTATTTGAACTTTGGATTTGTTTTGTATTGATTCTTTTGATTAATGTGGCATTTTCCTGTTCGCCGAGTTCCATAACTGGCTAAGGGTTTTTCGATAAGCTTTTTGCCTGTTTTGTAAATATAACTGTCAGCGTGGAGACAAAGTACACTCTGATAACTTCCTACAGAATATTTAGAGAGTGGTAAACATTATTCAAATAAACGGATAAATAAATTAAAGAATATTTTAACCGCTTTTTGATCATTTAAAAAATTCGAAAATCTTTTTTTTACATTGTACTTGATATGTTGGATATTTATTGTAAATACTAAATTCATAGCCGAAAAATGAAATGATCAACACAAATACGTATAACAAGGCCCATATAATAGCTGTCGACAAGCTTTACACTTAAATATCCTCTCGGGTACCCCTATACGAGTCTACTTTCGTTTTGAAGTTCCTCGTGACACTGCAAAGTCGGATTCTCCAGGTAGAAAAAAGACAATATCATAATCTTACCAATTGTACAGTAAGTGGAAAGTGATACTTCGATGTTATCATATCTTTACTTGTGTTATGATAATATATTTTACAGAAAATTCCATATAGGCTCAGATTATTGGGCGAGACGACAGGGGAGCTCGAGTTTACTAATCAAAGCCGGAAGTTAATTACGATAAATTGACGATATATACGCAAACAATTTGAACGATGCTCATTGTTGATGATTCGAGAAAATTAGATAGTTGTTATATATCTCTCAAATAGATTGTGTACCGTAACATATCTGTACAAGTTCTGTATCGTGATTAAATAGGTATACGCCACTCTTCACACGCTTTCTGAATGTGAGGCTCCCAAAGGGATAATTTTGCATTCTTGTTGTTAAACACCAGCAACATTCTGAAATTCTGATTTTTTATCGTGATATCTCAACAAAAGTTAACAGGCCGCGCATCGTAACTCGTAGCCCGAACATAACTTCTTACACCTTAGCGTTATTCACCCAAATTGGACTCATTGAGTTTACCGAAATATTAACAATTAAAGATAATCAATTCTGACAATTATAAAAACGCAGTTTATATATGCTTTTCTACAATGAAAACGTTTTATTCAGAATAGTTGACCTTCGATATTGTCAACGACCATTCAATCAATGACTCATAAAATCAATAGATTTTGAATTTTATATAGCTATTTTCACACACGCCTGTTTCATCGTCCCATTTCTTTCAAAGGCGAAATGGCAACTGCTCAGGCTCAAGAATTCAGCTGGCAGTGTGATAAATCATTGGTCGAGTGTCTGAATCATCTATTCACTTCCGGTATAGCATGTGACGTCATGTTCCTGGTTGGAGAGAACAAATATAGGATTCCCGCGCATAAAACTATTCTCATTAGCAGAAGTCCTGTATTTTACGCCATGTTTGAGGGAAATCTCGCCGAAGAGGGCGAAGTGTCAATTCCGGATATTGAACAAGAGGTGTTCACAATGTTTTTGAGGTAAGATTGACTGTTTCACAATTTCAGAACATACACAAAATGTATCAAATAAATAAAACGATACTTGCATTTACCAGCAAGTTGAATTATGGTCGTATTTCTGTCTTCATACGATTTAAAAAAATAAAAACCCTATCAAGAGTATAATGAATATTTTGTATGTGATGTCGTGTTGTAAGGTGTATCATTGCTGGAATAAGAGTTTTTCTATTTACATTTAGGTATCTGTATACAGACACAATAGAACTGACCGTCAACAACGCAACCTCTACCCTTTCAGCTGCGAGGAAATACATGGTGGATCGTCTTGTCAAAAAGTGTGAAACCTTCCTGAAGAGTTCTCTTACCGCCGAAAATGTATGCCTACTACTGGAACAGGCCCATATTTATACGGAGGAAAGCATTAAGGAGGACTGTGTTAATATGATCGCAAGATCAACAGGAGAAGTGCTGAAATCTACCAGTTTCGTCGCCCTGGGTTGCGACTTTTTGAAGAGTATCACAGAGTCGGACGACCTGGAGGTGGAGGAGAGCGCCGTGTACGAGGCGGTGATTCGGTGGTCTGAGGCGGAGTGTGGACGTCAGGGTCTGGAGTTAACGGATACAAACAGACGGAATGTACTGGGAGACATCCTGTATACTGTCAGGTTCCCTATCATGGACACGAAGTATTTGTTACAGCATGTCATTACGGGAGATGTCCTGACGTCAGAACAGGCACAGAGCGTCCTGAGATTTCAGCAGGACAGCAAAGCATATCCCTGCACAGAATTTACCGTGAACCAACGAGCACTTAGAAAACCAGTAACAATTGTAAAAGAATGCATAAGCAGATTTAAGGGTACGACGCGCAATAAACGGAGTGAATGGCTTGTTGCTGATAGCGAATCGATATCGTTTGTCTCCACCGTTGACATTTCGCTGCATGGACTGCAGCTTTACGGTTCGAAAACGGGAGAACTTAATATTCTTATAGGAGTCTACAATCAGGCTGGTGACACTCTATACGAGGAAACACACATGTTGCCAAATAAGGAAGAGGTTACTATAGAATTCAAGCACATCATCAAAATAACACCAGGTCAAACCTATACTGTCGTCATACACGGCGGGGTGCACACCAAGGTGTACGGAACGGAGGGATGTAGCACTGTGAAATGCCGTGATGGAGAAATCCGATTCATTTCAAGTACGTCTTATCCTAGTAGACATACATCTGTCAATGAAGGTCAATTTCCTGGACTGTTGGTAACATTCGAATCGGCATCAAACCCGAAAAAACATGACACTTTTAGTAGGTCTGATTTACCAAATTTTGACTGGTTGCGGTCATAAGGTATGCTGCAAAAAGGACAACCGGATGGATTGATGTTACGCACATCATTGTAATACATTATGCTACCTTTGTCGGCCGTATAAAAAGCAATGATAAAAAGAGAGTTATCTAGTCATAGTTTTCAAAGACTGACGTGTTGAATACTTCCACAGTAATTCAGTTTCTAACTCATATAGTTGAAGCATGATTGTTAATGTATATATGAACACTAAATACCTGTTTTTCACATTTATTTTGTTCATAGTTGTTATAATATTCATAAAAGTGAGTTGCTATAATTACGCCATTATGGTTTATGTTTCATTCTCTCGTGGTGCCGTATTAACGGACCTCCACTCTAACTACCACAAGTTTACCTGTGCCCTCACCGTTCATAGGAAATGTCCTGTATCTGTTAAAGGGAGAAAACCCATGAGTTTGTCCATTTATGTTGCATGTCATAATTTATTTAGCTGCCAGTGCTTATACCGGAAATTGCTTAATGAATATTGAGTTATCTTACCGATGAAAATATATGCTTCTTCCGGAACAAGCCCATATGTATATGGAGGAAAGCCTTAAGGAGGGCTTATACATATGATCGCAAGATGACCAGAAGAAGTGCTGAAGTCTACCAGTTTCGTTGACCTGTGTGGCGTCTGTGTGAAGAGTATCACAGAGACGGACGCCCTGGCCGTTGAGGAGAGCGTGGTGTACGAGTTTGTGATGCGTTGGTCAGAGGCGGAGTGTGGACGTCAAGGTCTGGAGGTAACGGATACAAACAGACGGGAGGTACTGGGGGATACATAGACGCCAAGTATGTATCAGCGCATATCATTATAAGAGATGTCCTGACGGTAGAACAGTTATTAAGCGTTCAGAGATTTCAGCGGGACAACAAGGCATTTTCCTGTACAGAATTCAGCGTGAACCAACGAAACATTAGATAACCGGTAAAAGGAATATTCGAATGCATAAACTGATTTACGGGCACGGTGGACAGTTCATGGAATACATCGAGAGTTAATGATAGTGATCCCAAATCTTTTTTCTATACAGTTGACATGTTTCTGCATGGACTGCCGCTTTATGGGTCGTATAAAAAAATCCGAATGTTCTAATAGGAAGTCTATCAGGATGGTGACACTCTATATAAGGAAACTCACATGTTGTTGGCAAATGAGACACTGTGTAATACAGAATTCCAGCACATCATCAAAATAACACGAGATCATACCCATACTGTCGTTTTACACGGAGGAGTACACACCATACGGTACGGAGAGCAGGGATGTAGCACGGTAAAATGCCGTGATGAACAAATACGATATATACACAACCGTCGATACGGGTCAAATTCCAGGACTGTTGGTATTTTTCTGAGTTTTTCTTCTTTCTACGACAGCCGAGTAAATTTAACCGCCCAAGTACAACAACAGACGCAGGATGGATGTAAATTGCTATAAATAGCATTGACAAATCGACATTAAAGCTGAAAAAATATGTATCCATGACATTGTTAGTATCCTTCACCATTCGTAATAAGAATTGGAGGGCGATAACCAATGACAATGTCCGTAACACATCAAATGCCAAAGGAATAAGTTGAAAATTGAGGAGCATGTTATTCTCTCATACTTCAACTCCATATATGCTTGTTGATTGAAAACGGGCCATATAATTGTCATAAAATTCACCGCATGTAGTACATGATAGAAATACTATTAAAACAAGTGTTGATACACTTGTGAAACATCTGTTATCTTTCATCGTAACCAACATTTACAACTATAGATCAAGGATAGTGACGTGAATGGGGATAGTTTACAGGGGAAGTTAGAAGAGAGGGGGTGGAATGAAGTGATAAAATATTGCTATCTTTTGTCTGGAAAAATGATGGCTAAGTTTAAAGTTCATCTTGTCCATTTGGAAGCACAACTGTCGATGAGGGTCAAATTCCAGGACTGTTGGTATCTGCAACAGGACAACAACAGACGTAGAATCGATGTTCCTTACCATTAATAGCATGAACAAATCGGCAGTAAAAATGCACATTTGCTGTCAAAATACACTTAATATCAGCAGGACTAATTCTGCCAAAACAACCCGTGTGCACACAAGTACACGTGTACTCATTACACCTGGTGTTCAAATAAACAATACGTACATCACATCTCCGTCTATGGTATCCTTCATCTGTACCGCCGATAATTATACAGAAAGACCTTGCTATTCTCTTATCTTGAATTTTTTTTTGTTACCTTTCATCGTAACCAACATTAACAACTATAGCTTAGGGACAGTGACGTGAATAGGGATAGTTTACAGGGGAAGCTAGAAGAGAGGGGATGGAATGAAGTGATAAAATATTGCTATTGTTTTTCTAGAAAATATTTGGCTTAGTTTAAAGGAGTTAAAACTTGGCAATACATTGATGGAAACATACAAGGGAAGTCTTAGGAAAAGGAGAATAAATGGTTCGTGAAATTGTTATAGGTAAAGGGTACATTTGCATCAATTATTACTGCGAAGATTTTTGGCTAGGAGTATCCTCCATGTTTTATGTATTATGTTGCATACTGGTTGAAAGTAACTTCCCTGTGGAGTTTTTTTTTCAGATGCTTTGCGATCCAGCTCCAAAAGATGTATGCTGTTCACATGATGGTGTTTTTAATATGAACAGAAACAGATAAGGTCTGTTTGTCTCCATTTCTTACAGATACCGGTTTGTCCATATTTCATAATACTTTACTTCTCGCGATAGATTCTCAGCAATATACTAAATCAGGTTTGACTTTCTGTGCTGCCTTACTACTGCTTTCACGTCAATCAGTGCTCATCAGTAAACAATTATTGATGACGTCATGGTAATTATTACATCAAAATAATTGTCACTCTTGACTCCACCATAATCATGTTATTGGGTTAAATAAGTAACGTAAATTGACCAATAGTGCTTTGCAAATTTAGTTACTGTTCAAATTATGATCTCGTTGCCGGCAGAACATAGGCGAGTTCGTGAAAATATCCATTTATTTAACAATAAATGTAGCTGTAGTTCTTTCTCCAAAACTCTTTGATGCTTAGATATGTTTAAAGACGTGCTATATCTACTTTTATGTGCTATACATAGGTACGTTTTTCAAAAAAATTGATTTGTATATTTTACAATGAGAACTATGAACTATAAAGATAAAACTGTCAAACCTGTGTCTGGATGAATAGGAGATAAAGACTTCCTAAAATTAATTTTCCAATCGCACAGCGTAATTTGTTCGATGATTTTGAATCATTCTGACGTCATACTTAATGGTGATGCTATTACTCTATAAAGTCTGCATGTGTTCAAAAAAATAATTAGGATGTTTAATCCTTATCTTTCTTTGCGATACAATCCGTATACTGTGAAAACACTTATTTTTCGTGGGGTTGTACATTTGATTATTTCGTAAATAATCTAAATCCAATAATGCATTGGCCCACAAAATAATTATAAATCTAATATAAAGCCATTTTCCGTATTACTTGGTACTCGTAATCCACGAATTTATGTACCCACAAAATGTTGTTGTTTTGGGGGAAACCCTGAAATTTGATCACCACGGACATATCCAGTTTCACAGTAATTAGGTGATAAATAACAAAGATAGTCTATGTAAAGGAGCGGGTCAGTTGCATATCTATTCTTAATATCATTTGAATAATTTATTCACAAATCACCATGATTTTTTACTTATAATGAATACCGGAAAAAATATGACATGGTTGTATTCACTGGATACATGGACACTTATTCTGCTCAAACAAATGTGTAAACTTCACAATGAAAATCTATATTCACTCAGTGTTAATTTCCTCCTTAACATATACTTACTCTTGTATGCTTGGTACTAACGTTGGCCGTCATTGTCAATTTGGCCTCATTTGGGAGGGCAAGAGGAGTAAAAGTCAAACTCCGGTAATACTTCCTGTCATAGATATTTTATTTATGTCCAGATCATTCACATTATGATATATTTTCATATTCTGGTCGTTTGAAAGGTTTTCACCAAGCACGGCATGCATTGTTCCGAGAGACATTTTCTCCAGTTTAGGTAAGTCACAAATCAAATGATTTGTGGCGGTATAATCGGTATATTGAGATTACACTGTTGCAAATTGAGTTTTACTTGTCGCATCACGTATTTGCAATAGTATTATCACAAAATATCTTGCCATAAAATTTAAAAACACAGTTTAGTTATCCCCATTCTCGTTCATATAAGCCAAAACAAAAAACAGTTCAAAATATTTATGAGCGAATACTTCAAAATCCGGGTCACTCTGCTGTGGACTTTGGATTGGTGATATCAGGAATGTTTAAAGTGATGCAGAGTTTCATTGACCTTTTGGGGTCACACTAATGTTTGTGACGTCATGAATAATTAATTCCATGACCTGTCAGGGTCAGTCAGGGTCATGGACATCAATAACAATCGCCATCCGGGCTTCATATCCCAGTGATATATTTGTTGACGATACATCATGGTTAATCTTTTGCAAATAATTCATCCATTTTCATCCAGACTCACCAGTCAGATGAAGATACCTTTATACTGATTAACATTCACACCACTACTTTACACCAAGTCATGTTACTTTTGTGTCGAAATATTGGCCAACACATACTTTTTTTGCTCCGTGTTAATTTCAACCTCTCTTTAAAAGATATACATGAAAAGGTGAAAATAATACAGGAGAACAATTCGCATTTTCTACATTGTATAATAGTTTGTAATTGACTGATAGGTTTCATTTACACAACACAAAATGAACTTAAATCAATGCTTATCATCACAAAACAGTATCCTCATCAATGTCATCAGGACTCTTGTATCGGTTATAAGTTCCAGTACCATTTTGTAAACTATGATTGACATGTGTTTTATCTGTGCCCGAGTGTTTCGTGTTTGAATCAGTAACAGGTGTATAGGACTGTTCTCCTTGGTCTTGTTCCTATAATACAATAAACAACAGTGTTATGTATACTGATATTCAATTGATAACAAATTTCCCCACAAATGGAGATATTATCTGATATAACCTGATCATTGATAATGACAAGTTTCCATCGTGCCATCCAGGTTGTTAATTTTATTGAACCTATCACATGTTTAAATTTGTTTTCAAAATTCAATTTGTTTCTACCTAACAGACTTATTTATAAAATAGTTATGAACAATTAACAGGAAAATACTGTAATTATAAGGAATATTTTTCTATTTTTATCATGAAACTATTCCTTAAGGTAATAGGATTGTGTCGCCATTTCTCAGTAGAATTTCTTCAAATTTTGTAGCTATATTTCTTTGAAGTAAAGAACATCTTCTGCCACAAAAAATATATAGGTTGTCATAATTTTAAGGAATTTAAATGGAAATTTATGTAAAAAGGAGTGACTTTAAAAAAAAACAGAAAGACAAAATATTTTGCAAAATAATGTCAATAAAAATGATACTGCCATAGATTAGTATTTCATTAATGTATATTAATTTAATAAATGCTGAATTTATGTCAAATAAATTATCTATAAACGATTAAAAATTGACATTTTATAATAAAACCATATGCACATAGTAATTGCAGGTAAGAGTTATCTTTCTTGAAAAAAATCACAGTAGTGAAATAGGTAGCCGGTTTCCTGAAGTACAGAAAAATGGATACATGTGGCTCATTGATAAAAAAATCTGAATTAACGCCTGTATTGCTTTGAAATACTTTACTATTTAGAGAAAACACTGTTCTGTCAATAATAAACATACAATATTCATCAGTTTAATATTAAACATTAGAATATGCGGAAATTGTAATACTGTCTCCCTACATTGGATTTTCAACTAGGGATGTACTTCCTACACTCCTATGTCTATGACCTTACATACACAGGTGACCTGCCGGAATTCATCATACCAAGATTTACATGAAATGTTACTTTAAAAATAAATTAACCGTTGATGCAGCAAAACGTTGAAAAGAACTATTCAGAGGCGACCAATTACAAAATATTGGTTTCAGATCACAATCATACAGTTTACTTTGTATTATATAATAAAAGAATCTGTCATTCATTTCCCTTCATATTAGATCTATGATACTCATTTGGGATTTTTCATGTTTGCGAGCCTCTAATTATACAGTTTACTTTGTATTATATAATAAAAGAATCTGTCATTCGTTTCCCTTCATATTAGATTTATGATACTCATTTTGAATTTTTCATATTTGCTCACCAGAGGCTCGGAAACATGAAAAATCCAAAACTTGTATCAGAAATCTTCTATAAAAGGAAACTCTATTTATGATTGTCTTTCCTACATATGTGACACATGTGGTCTTTATATACAGGTAGGAATTATACATGTATATAATCAATTAAACAACCTGCAGATAAATAACTTAGAGATATTTAATTTATTAACCCCTGAAATTTCATAATGAACTATCCAACCTTTAAATGAAAGAGTTCAATCGTGTCTTCAGGGATGACGGAGTTCAAGAAGTATGAAGTTAACTTACATTTTCATGAACACGTGTGTGATCTATATTACAATGAAGAAATGTTCTGATTTTTTGTGGTAGACAACAACAGAAGATGTCAAAGATTGGAATCAGGTACTCTGGTGGGACTTCATGTCTTTTTGTAGGCCCTGAAATAAAAACATATAGTGTCCATTACCTGTAATCAACACTGTGGAATTCCTCACTTAATGTTCTTTATTCCTCAAAAACTAAAGAGTTACTTGGAAGTTAGAATGACATGTTAACTTAATACAGAGATACAAACACAGAAAAAGTGGTATTGTTATTTGATTTAATGACTACTGTGTGATGTATTACATGAAATGTTCGTTGTGTATAAACATTCGTGGTTTTCGTAGTTGCTATTGGAATAAGAAAATAAATACAACGAATTTGAATTATAGGATATCCACGAATGTTTGAACCGCGAAACAATCTGAATGGCTTTAAACCACGAAGGGATGTATCCACAACTATTTTGTGTTATATAGTATCGCATGACTACTGTTTACCTAGCCTAATTTTGTTAGTCAACGTGTATACAGATATTAGCTACTGGCATCTAGCATTCTCACATGTAATCAAGGATTCGCACCTGTACTTAAGGATTCTCACCTGTAACCAAGGGAATTTTACCTGTATTAAAGGAATCTCACCTGTACTTACTTGGGGATTATCACCTGTACTTAATGATTCTCATTTGTAACTCAAATATTGTTACCTGTTCTAAGGGATTCTTACCTGTACTCAGGATTCTCACCTGTACTCAGGATTCTCACATGAACTTAAGGATTCTCACCTGTAACCAAGGGAATTTTACCTGTAAGTAAGGAATCTCACCTGTACTTAGGGATTATCACCTGTACTTAAGGATTCTCATTTGTAACTCAAGTATTCTTACCTGTACTCAGGATTCTTACCTGTACTCAGTGTTCTTACCTGTATTTAATATTCTTACCTGTACTCAGGATTCTTACCTGTACTTACAAGTTCTTACCTGTTATGAAGCTGACAATGAGTCCGACGGTTACACAGACGATGGTTCCAAAGGTTGAAAACCACAGGTAAGACAGCGAGTAAAGCTTGGTAAGGGCGTTACTGTAACGTCAAACATACAATCAATGTATTTGAATGAGTGGACCAAAGCACCATAATTTGTTTAAACTCAAAACTTTCACATCTCCATCGAGTCCATCATGACGTTTGAATTACTGAAGGTTTTACATCATTCTTGTTTTACCTTATTTTTCCCCTGTATTTTGTATAGGGTTGCAATGAATCTACAAAATTGTGTGCTTTAAAAGGGAAAAAATTCAAGTTATTAAATATTTCTACCTATACATATAGTATAACCCCGATATAACGCCACCTTCCGTTCAAAGACATTTTGGAGGTACAAGGAGTCCAACACTTACCAATGAAAACTCAAATATACATGTGTATATTGCAATTTTTAATATTTACACACCCTTTTTGAAAAAATAATTAGTTCGGAAACATTGATTTAGATCTGGTATTACGATCAGTGTGTCACATGCAAGATATACACTTTACGAGTACCGCGGTGATCGCCAGATATGGTACGTCACAGTCACATGGCAAAAACAACAAAGTATTTGCATGATGAGCACAATGGTGGTGTCCCGTCTGTATCATCAAATCAATTTTAATTTGTTGGTCCAATTATCATCCACAGTACAACGTTTAATTGAAAGATGAATTGAATATCTTCACAACCTGTTTCCTTATTTTCAGAAGCCATGTGAGAAGCCATGTGATGTGAATGAATAAATAACCGACAGTGGTAATATGGTAAATTGTATTCAGATGTAAATTGATTAGACACACGTACTATACGTAATTACAACATCTAAAACTGAACCCCAGGGCTGAGTCAACTGTGAAATCAACAATATAGGTAAAATTCTTTAATGGAGTGTGGCAGTGTTGTCGGGGGCAACAAAGGGGTATTTGAACGACTGTTCTCAGAACATTGTGGCATATGGCGGTACAACGGGTGCATTTAAGTGTGGGGAAATCGGTTCTGACGTAATTGATGGTGGTATGTGAGTTCGGAAGTACAAGGGGTACATTTAAGTGTGGGGAAATCGGTTCTGACGTAATTGATGGTGGTATGCGAGTTTGGCGGTACAACGATTACATTTAAGTGGGGGGAAATCAGTTCTGACGTAATGATGGTGGTATGTGAGTTCGGCGGTACAACAGGTAGATTTAAGTGTGGGGAAATCTGTTCTGACGTAATGATGGCGGTATGTGAGTTCGGGGGTACAATAGGTACATTTAAGTGTGGGGAAATCGGTTCTGACGTAATTGATGGTGGTATGCGAGGTCGGGGGTACAATGGGTACATTTAAGTGTGGGGAAATCGGTTCTGACATAATTGCTGGCGGTATGCGAGTTCGGCGGTACAACGGGTACATTTAAGGGTGGGGAAATCGGTTCTGACGTAATTGATGGTGGGATGTGAGTTCGGGGGTACAACGGGTACATTTAAGTGTGGGGAAATCTGTTCTGACGTAATGATGGCGGTATGTGCGTTCGGGGGTACAATAGGTACATTTAAGTGTGGGGAAATCGGTTCTGACGTAATTGCTGGCGGTATGCGAGTTCGGCGGTACAACGGGTACATTTAAGTGTGCGGAAATCGGTTCTGACGTAATTGATGGTGGTATGCGAGTTTGGCGGTACAACGATTACATTTAAGTGGGGGGAAATCAGTTCTGACGTAATGATGGTGGTATGTGAGTTCGGCGGTACAACAGGTAGATTTAAGTGTGGGGAAATCGGTTCTGACGTAATGGCTGGCGGTATGCGAGTTCGGCGGTACAACGGGTACATTTAAGGGTGGGGAAATCGGTTCTGACGTAATTGATGGTGGTCTGCGAGTTCGGGGGTACAATGGGTACATTTAAGTGTGGGGAAATCGGTTCTGACATAATTGCTGGCGGTATGCGAGTTCGGCGGTACAACGGGTACATTTAAGGGTGGGGAAATCGGTTCTGACGTAATTGATGGTGGGATGTGAGTTCGGGGGTACAACGGGTACATTTAAGTGTGGGGAAATCGGTTCTGACATAATTGCTGGCGGTATGCGAGTTCGGCGGTACAACGGGTACATTTAAGTGTGCGGAAATCGGTTCTGACGTAATTGATGGTGGTATGCGAGGTCGGGGGTACAATGGGTACATTTAAGTGTGGGGAAATCGGTTCTGACGGAATTGATGGTGGGATGCAAGTTCGGCAGTACAACGGGTACATTTAAGTGTGCGGAAATCGGTTCTGACGTAATTGATGGTGGTATGCGAGGTCGGGGGTACAATGGGTACATTTAAGTGTGGGGAAATCGGTTCTGACATAATTGCTGGCGGTATGCGAGTTCGGCGGTACAACGGGTACATTTAAGGGTGGGGAAATCGGTTCTGACGTAATTGATGGTGGGATGTGAGTTCGGGGGTACAACGGGTACATTTAAGTGTGGGGAAATCGGTCCTGACTTAATGATGGTGGTATGCGAGTTCGGCGGTACAACGGGTACATTTAAGGGTGGGGAAATCGGTTCTGACGTAATTGATGGTGGGATGTGAGTTCGGGGGTACAACGGGTACATTTAAGTGTGGGGAAATCGGTTCTGACATAATTGCTGGCGGTATGCGAGTTCGGCGGTACAACGGGTACATTTAAGGGTGGGGAAATCGGTTCTGACGTAATTGATGGTGGGATGTGAGTTCGGGGGTACAACGGGTACATTTAAGTGTGGGGAAATCTGTTCTGACGTAATTGATGGTGGTATGCAAGTTCGGCCGTACAACGGGTACATTTAAGTGTGGGGAAATCGGTTCTGACGTAATGATGGTGGTATGCGAGTTCGGCGGTACAACGGGTACATTTAAGTGTGGGGAAATCGGTTCTGACGTAATTGCTGGCGGTATGCGAGTTCGGCGGTACAACGGGTACATTTAAGTGTGGGGAAATCGGTTCTGACGTAATTGATGGTGGTATGCGAGTTCGGCAGTACAACGGGTGCAATTAAGTGTGGGGAAATCGGTTCTGACGTAATTGATGGTGGTATGTGAGTTTGGCAGTACAACAGGTGCAATTAAGTGTGGGGAAATCGGTTCTGACGGAATTGATGGTGGTATGTGAGTTCGGGGGTACAACGGGTACATTTAAGTGTGGGGAAATCGGTTCTGACGTAATTGATGGTGGTATGCGAGTTCGGCAGTACAACGGGTACATTTAAGTGTGGGGAAATCGGTTCTGAGGGAATTGTTGGTGGTATGCCAGTTTGGTGGTACAACGGTGGCGATACATCAAGGTTATACTGTATGCTAACGTAGAATCTCGCACTTTTCTACTGAATACAGGCATATATTACATTTATGTTAATTTCTTTATATTGATAGAAAGAAAAATATAGGTACATGTAGAAAGTAGTTTAAAGTGATTCCAAATAATGTTACAGAACAGTATCTACATTATAACAAGGGGGTAGAGCCAAAGCCGTGCTTTTCTGTTTTCTTAATGGTAGAATAATTTTGTTCTTTGCTCCTCGTCTGGATACCCGAAAGTATGCCGGGGATTGAGTAAAAATGGGCACATTAGGAAATAGATTCAACCACAAAAGGCGAAGGAACAAGTAGTTCTTGTAGTTTATTAGAAGTGTCAATCGGTTTCGCCCCTACAGTGGGCTTCTTCATGTCCTGTAGGGGCAAAACCGGTTGACACTTCTAATAAACTACATTATAACAAATATCAGGAGAAGTAGTGCTTTCAACAAGCTCCCTGCTCCAAGGTCCGAATATCAAGTACCCTTGTGGAGATATTTTCATCAAAATAGGAAATTATAAAACATTTCTTTTGTATAAAGCGAGTCATTGCTTCAGTAAATGAGTAGGCAACTCAGAGTCAAAACAAGATGCCCATGCATGGGTTAACTCATTCACACCTGAAATTTCATAATGAACTATTCCAACCTTTGAGTTGGGAGATTTCAAATGTGTCTCTAGGAGTGAATGAGTTAATGGTCACCTTAGTTGAGCTACAGTAACTTTTGTTGTTGAGACATGAACTGAAAACAATCTTGTATATTTTCATTTGCATTGCAACCCACTATATGAACATCACCAGCAGAAATGCATTTCATGAACGGTATGAACACAAATTGGTTACATCCATATTGCATGAAGCCCATCATACATTAAATGAGCAGTTGTCTGTATGGTTGTACATAAAGGGCCATAATTATAGTTATTCATGCAATATGGACGTAACCAATTTGTATTCATACTGACATGAAAATTTAAAACGCTGTTCAATTCCTATATGAACACAAATCTGTTATATCCATATTGCATGAAGCCGGCTTCATGTTTAATATGGATGTAACTGAAATGTGTTCATACCAACATGAACATTTTAAAAAATTCTGTTCAATCCATATATTTACGTTTGATGGTTATTGAACTAGTAGTCCGAGCTATCATGGCAATGAACCTTCCTATGACGTTTGAATTTAATCTGTTGAAAATTAACGAAGATATCGAGCGGACACCAAGCATGCCTACTCCAACAATGTTAGAGGTTTTACACGGCGAAAAACTTTTGACAGGTCGCAGTCGGCAAAATCATATCCGACAGAAAAAAGGCCGACCAGCGGCCTCTCATGTTATGGGAGTACAAGCATGCCCACCCACCCGCCTGCCCGCCAATGTAGTAACATAGTCTTTCAACGGGCGTATACAAACTGAGAGAAGATGATGCAATACTTACATCGATTTTAGAATGGATGGGCTCTCAGTTATCACTGATACAGCTGTTGAATTCATGTAGGCTATTTGTATATCTGTCATGGTTGAATAGTCGAGTATAGTACCAGGAGAATGTGTTGGCAGGGAATATAACGATGTTAAGTTCAGCAATGAAATGTCTGTATCAGATGAACAATTTGATGTAGGAAATTCCAGTGTTTCCGGGGAACCAATCACAGAGTATTTTCCAACGTTTATCCAAAACATGATGATGTAGGAAACAATACTCCCAGCAACAGCACCCTGTAATCCATCACAAATTACAAAATAATCACAGCACCCTGTAATGCATCACAAATTACAAAATAATCACATGACCCTGTAAACCATAACAAATTACAAAATAATCACAGCACCCTGTAATCCATCACAAATTACAAAATAATCACATGACCCTGTAATTCATCACAAATTACAAAATAATCACAGCACCCTGTAATCCATCACAAATTACAAAATAATCACATGACTTCAGTGTTACACAATGAAACATGCAAGAGATTTTTTGGCATTTTACCTTTTGAAGTATAATTATAACTCATTCACCCCTGAAACTTCATAATGAACTATTCCAACCTTTGCATTGGAAGATTTCATATATGTCTTCAGTGGTGATTCACCCTGAAATTTCATCATAAACTATTCCAACTTTTGCATTGGAAGAGTTCATAAAAGTCTTCAGGGGTGAATGAGTTTAGACTTCAGGATAAAGACTTTTAAATATATAAACTTTATTTATTTTACAACAATTATAAAACAAGTTGCTACAGCTTATATTAATAACTTTTGTTGGCACGGATGTGTGCGGGGGGGGGGGGGCTTAATGTGGGGG